AGCGGGTTCCTGCCGGGCGGCGAGCGCTGGCCAGCGTCCGGAGAGGCACCCGGCTCGCCCGGCCCCGCTGCGGCACCAGGGCCCGGCGGCGCCTGCTGCTGCTGCAGCAGCTTCTCCCGCTCCTGCATGGAGGCCACGATGTGGCGCGAGAGGTTGTCGTAGCGCACGGGCGAGGGCGCGCGCGGCGGCGGCGGCGCGTGCTTGGGCGAGGCGAAGCGGCCCTGCAGGTCGGGCTCGCGCTGCTGGGCGATGCGCGCCGACAGGAAGGGCGACGTGTAGCCCACGGGCGCCTCGGGCTCGGGGCCCGCCTGCACCGACTCGAAGTCGGGGCTGTCGGAGGGCGTGAGGAGGCTGTCGTAGGACAGGCTGCCGTTGCGCGTCTGGTTGGCCAGGCTCTTGTAGGACGTGGACGTGGTGCCCTCGGAGCGGATGGACTGCAGGTGGCCCAGCTCGAAGGCCGTGCCCTGCGCCGACTTGAGGCTGGAGGAGCGCGAGCCGCTCGAGAGCGGGTCGAAGGGGAAGCTCTTGCCGAAGGTGGGCGAGCGGAAGCTCTCGGGCTCCAGGCTGGGCTCCGAGCGGTAGCTGGGCTTGCGGCCGCCCTCGCCCAGCGCGTTGGGCTCCTTCAGGCTGTTGACGCGGCTCAGCTGCGGGTGAAGGGGCGTGAGCATCAGGGCAGGCGGGCGGGCGAGACGCGGGGCCGCCGGGCGCAGCCTCACCTTGGCACTCGTGGAGTGCGGCAGCGCGGCCGAGCTGCTGCTGCTGCTGTAGCCGGGCCGGTACTTGTACATGGTGGGCGTCGGGGGGCTCTCCTTGCCTAGCAGGCCGCTGTCTGTGCGGGGAGGAGAGGCGCTGGGGCCGCCGCGCTGCCCTCCCGGCACGCGGACACGCACAACCACGGGGCAGGGAGGGCTCGGGAAGGACGGGGCGGGAGGAGAGGGCGCTGCGGGCGGGCTCCTTACCCTCGGTGGTGGCCAGCGCCAAGTGCGTCCTCAGGCCGGCGTAGCGGCCGAGGTCGGGCTTGGGTGGCGGCGGCGGCTCCGCGTCCGCCGACTGGCTCTCGGTCACCTCCAGGCTCCCCTTGGACTGCAGGGACAAAGGGCAGAGCGGGCGGTCAGCGGGAACGGCCCCGCGGTGCCGCATGGGCTCTCGCTGCCGCCGCAGCCGCCGCCGCTCCGTGGCCTCCGCTGCTCCAAGGCCTCCGCCGCTCGCTGGTGCCAGGGAGGAGGGGACAGGGCGACGGCAGCAGGYGACATCGGCAGGGCCGCGACTCCCGCGCTCCAGGGACACACAGCAGGGGCACACGGAGGGCAATGGCACGGCACAGCAAGGCCCACTCGGCTCCTTACTCACAGCGCTGGCCACTCGCCCCCGCCTTCCTCACCTTCGTCCTCCTCAGCTCGCTCTGGATCCCGTTGTCCATGATCTTGACGGCGATCTGCCCGTCTGACACCTCGGGCCGCAGGAAGGGCGGCCGCACCAGCACCGTCTGCTCGGGCCTGGGGCGCCCCAGGTACCTGGTGGGGACACGGAGGATGGGAGGACCGTGGAGGGCGGCGGCGGCGCCTTCCCCGCGCCCGTCCTCCTACCTGGGCGCCGGGGAGCTGCACAGCACCCGGCTCACGTTCTTGCAGCAGCCGTTGGTGAAGGGGTTGACGCCGCCGCGGAACTTGCCCGTCACCTGGGGACAGGGAGCGCGGCGCTGAGGGCGCTCGGGGCGTCCGCGGTCCCTGAGCAGCCCCAGCCACCTGGGGGCCTTGCAGGGCCCCCCCGCGCGCGGGGCTCCCGCCACGGGCGCCGCGGCCCCGCGTACCTGCTCGTTGGTGGTGCGGCCCCTGGCCACGAGCACCACGTGGAAGCCGGTGAGGCCGGCGACGGGGATGAAGAAGAGGCCGGCCACGCACATGACGGCCATGCTGGCGCAGGCGGCTAAGGAAGGGCCCGCTCGGCTGCCCGCCCCGCGTCCCGCCGCCCCGCGCGCACCAGAGGATACGTGACGGCCATGCGCGCTCCCGAGAGCTCCTCCACCTGGTAGAGCACGTAGAGCAGCCCGAAGCCGAAGACGCCCATGATGTGCGCCGTGAGCGAGAGCAGGAAGAGGAAGAAGTAGCGGTAGTTGCGGCGCCCGATGCAGTTGTTCACCCAGGGGCAGTGGTGGTCAAACTCCTGCAGGCCGTGGCATGAGCGGTGTGGCCTGGCGTGGGGCGCCGCGGCCCGCGCGCCACCGCCGCCTCTCACCTCCACGCAGTTGTCGCAGACGCTGCAGTGGGAGCAGCGGGGCGGCCGGTAGAAGCGGCAGGTCGCGCACCACTTCATGCGCACCTGGATGCCCTTGATCTCCACCGTCTTGTAGAGCGGCGCTCGGAAGTCGTCCTCCTTGTCCTCGTCCTCCTCGGCTGCGCGGCAGAGCCGGGCCAGGCGTCAGCGAGGCGGCGACGCCATGCGGCGCTTCCCGCACGGAGCGGCGGCCGGGACTCACCTCGTGGGAAGATGCCCGGGTCCATGAAGGTGGCCATGCTGAAGTTAGCCAGCACGAAGAGGAAGACGACGGCATTGTAGACAGGAATGACCGGGGAGACGTAGAGGCTGAGCCCCGGGCACCTGCGCGCGGGAATGCAGAGCCGCTGAGAGGCGCCGGCCTCCACACCGCATTCCCCCTGCACCCCACTCCCGCTCCCCGGCCACAACAGCGGGAAGCGACCACCGATCCCAGCGCTCCCGGACACCCAACTCGGCTCCTCCCGCACCACTGTGCCGGGACAGCACCTCAAGCGCAGGGCAAGCTCCCGGCCCGGCCCCACGCGGCACCGGGAACAGGCCGAGCCGGTCGGACCGGCAGCGGGAGCGGAGCGGAGCGCCCCCCTGGCGCCGCGGGCTTCCCCGGCCTGGCGCCGCCGTAATGCCCTAAGCCGCTTTGCGGCCGCGGCTCTAATCCCGCGCATCTAGGGCAGCATCTGGCCCCTCTCTGCCCCCCGCGCCGCGCAGCGACTCGGCCAGCAGCAGGAGGGCGACATATGGAGCGTGGCTCGCGAGCCCGGCGACGGCCCCGCTTTACCTCGGGATTAAGCGGAGAAAGTGGGGGCTCGGCACGCGGGGCCGCGGCAGCACCCGCTCTGCCCCACCAGGCCCGCGCAGCGCGACCCCCTGCCCGTGGCCACGGGCCTGTCCCCGCGGGAGGGACACAAGGAGCTCCCTGTGGAAGGGGGCTGGTGGCCCCCTGGGGCGCTTCCAAAAGTGGCAGGGAGCTGCTGGCCGGTCCTTCCCGACCTGGCACCCACGGGAGCGTCCCCCTTCCCTGCCCCTCGCGCCGCCCCAGCCCGCGCCCATGGCAGAGCCCACGCGGGCGCTGCTAATTAAAGGTAATCAATGAGAGGGCGCCCTCGTCCCAGTGCTGCCATGGGCAAAGGCGCTGGCGCCTGGGAAACCCATCCCAGGGAGCTCCAGGGTGCAGGCAGCTGCCTCCCGCTCTGCCCCACACGCTCGGGGTGCTCAGGCAGCAGCGAGAGCCACGCACGGGGCGGCTGTGCCGGGCAGAACAACCAGGGAACAACACGGAACAACAGGCGGCTCCTGAGCGACACCCGCAGCTGCCTCCATCGCGATCCGCCCGGTCCCGCCCCAGCAGGGCAGGGCGGCAGCCCGGCCCTCGCTCCTCAAGTTACCCCTTTTATGGCCCGGGTGCCGCCGGGCGTTACCGCCGCCGCGCGGGGCCTGCCCGGCACCCCACGGCATCCCGGGAGAGCCGCCCACAGCGAGGCGCCCCACGGGACATCCTGCGTCCTTTGGGTGCCCAGCACATCCCAGCCGCGACGCTCCTCCCACGCCGGGCGTCCCCGGAGCCCCGCGCCCCGACTCACGTGAAGGCAAAGAAGAGGGTGGTGGCTCCCACTAGGAAGACGGCGGCAGCCGAGACCGGGACGTACTTGCTGGGTTTGAACCTCTTGGCGGCCGCTGCTGGCATGGTGGAGCTCCGCTGCGCGCGGCGCCCTGCAGCATAGCCCAGGCCGGCCGGCGGCAGCGCGCTCGGAGCGGAGCCGGCGCCTCCTCAGCGCTCCCGTCGGCGCGCCGGCGAGCGGCCGCTCCGCATGGAGCCCGCGGCCGCGGCGGCTCCTGCGGCGATGCCGCGCTCGGGGCCGCCCGCTAAAGCCGCCCAACAGCTGGCGCGAGGCTGAGCTGCAAATCCCGCCCGGCGCGGCCAGGGGGGCTGCGGGGCCGGCCCCTCGCTGTGCCCGCGCCGCGGCGAGCCCTCGCCGACTCCGCGGCGCCCTAGAGCGCGCGGGCGCGCGCGGCGCCCGCCCGGCCCGCCGCGGCCATGGCCCGCACAGCGCACTGCCGTCCCAGCCGCTCGTCCATCGCCTCCTGCCGCCGCGTCAAGCTGCCCCTCCTTAATCCATGGGTTGTTAAAAACACCTACATAAAACGGCTAAAACCCGGCATCCGCAGCGCCGCCGCTCACCTGCAAGGAGAGCACACACGGCATGGTTCCCGGAGCGGCGCGGGGGAGCGAGCGCCGGGCGCGCCGTTAGCGGGACGGGGGACGCGGCAGGGCGCCGCTCGCCGGCTGGCTGCTCGGGGCGGCCTCCTGCACGGGCTGAGCCCCGCGCGAGGGAGCGGCGCCCACG